AGTTTAAACCTTTAATAATATTTAAACAAAAATTTATAGTTTATTAAGTTAATTTTTTTTAAACTCATAACAATAGATAGTAAAATTGATTAAATGATTAACTATCATTTATAAATGACTCTTTAGTAAAAATTTAAACTTTTAAACTATTTTAGTAGAAAATGCGAGAGAAAATGTTTTTATGTGTTTTTATTTTAAATGTATGAGGCGCCGTTTGCGTCAAAATTATTTTATGCATTTATAGATAAAAATTCCACACATATATGCGAAAATGCAAATATAAAGTTTCTTTTTGGTAAATATATAGAAATGCAAAAGTAAAGGTACAAATATAAAGTTTCGTTTTGGTACATAAATAGAAATGCAAAAGTGCATGTGCAAAGTTTCGTTTTGGTACACATATAGATATGCAAAGATGTGGGTACAAATATAGAATATAATATAATGTTATATAAAGTGTAGCATGGACCGTTGGTACAAATATAAAAAGTAAGGTTTGGGACGGAGGCGCAAGATGGCGCTTTCAACACTTTTAACCGCGCTTAAACGTACGTCTGTTCTTACTACCGGCATTTAAGTTTCTAGTTATTAAAACGAATCGTTTTGTAAAAAATAGGTAAGAGTAAAAAGTAACACGGCGTTTATAACTTACCTATTTCCAACTAAACTCCTTTTAATTAAAACAAACAAACGTTAAAAGTAGTTAATCTATAATACACAATAGAAAATTTAAATGCCGGTAGTAAGAACAGACGTACACTTAAGCGCGGTTGAAAGCATATACTTACTGTGGTAAGTATATGGTTGAAAGTGTTAAGAACGCCATCTTGTGTCTCCGTCCCAAACCTTACTTTTTATATTTGTACCAACGGCCCATGCTACACTTTATATAACATTATATTATATTCTATATTTGTACCCACATCTTTGCATATCTATATGTGTACCAAAACGAAACCTTGTACATGCACTTTTGCATTTTTATATATGTACCAAAACAAAACTTTATATTTATACCTGCACTTTTGCATTTTTATATATGTACCAAAACAAAACTTTATATTTGTATCTTAACTTTTGCATTTCTATATATGTACCAAAAAGAAACTTTATATTTGCATTTTCGCATGTATGTGTGGAATTTTTTATCTATATAAGCCTAAAATAATTTTGACGCAAACGGCGCCTCATATAAATGTCTCGATACTATTTTTAAATACTAAAAAATTTAACTTTACCAATTTAATCTCAATAAGTTTATAAAATATTTATACCTATAAGATTTATAAAATTCTGCCTAAATAAATTATACTTACATCAAAAATTATTTTCATTAAAAAATATTAGTTTTTGCAAAAATTAATTGGAAATAATATTGTTTAATATACAGAAGTAAACTCTTCGTCTTTCAAGACATGATGGTTGAAAATATTTTAAATTTATAAATGTAAACCTAAAATTTTTAGTTAGGAACATATAACCAATAACATTTTAAATTAAAAATTATTCAATAAATGTTTAATTTTAGTTTTATTTTTCACTTCAAGTTTATTTTTTCTTTTTAGTCATTGAATTACTCATAATTAATAGTTTTTTTATACGACTTTAAACCTTAAAAAGTTGTCAGACAACTAAGAATTATTTACGAATAAAAAGTAAACTATGTTTACTTATGACTTAAGAGTAAAATTTAGCTTAGAGTGAAAATATTTATGTTAAATTTACCATTAAAAATCCCTTAAAATAAAATAACCCAAAAATTACCTTAAATAAACATTATAAGAAAGTAAAAAATTCATAATAAAAACTTAACAAGACTTTTTAATGATAGTTTTAAGGTTAGGTTTAAAATATATGTACTTAAATTAGGTAATAAATACGAGAAGCTCGACTATTTTACATAAAATGCTTTTTTAGAGCTGTAGCAAGCTGTATGTAAAAATAAAATAAATATAAAAGCATATTGGCAGCACAAAATGGATATTTACAGATATGATGGTCAATTTTTTACCTTTAATAATTCTTTGGCTTTGGAAGCTGCCTCTATAACATTTCCATCAGTCATAGCAGTCATTATTAACAAAGAAAAAAACACGAATTTTAACACTAAACTGAATTACCTTGCTGATATTGCACCAAATTGCAATGTAAACTAAACACTTTAAATTTATTTAAATTAAAATAATGATAAGTTTTATCTTTTATATCGAACATAATCATAATATTTATAATTGGTTTAAGATGAGGCCCATATCTTATAATTGAATATACGCACAACTTTTGTGTTTATAGCTATTTGAAATAAAAATAGATTTTTATTTTTATCATAGGTACTGGTTTATTTAAATATTGAACAAAATATGCTTAGAAAGAATAAGAAAAACATGTTGATCAAAGTATTACAAAAAGCCGACAATTATTGCCCACACCTTTTTCTCTAAACCAATTTAAAAACCGTCGTTTTCCGAAGGATGTCATTTATCTTGGAATAGTAATTATATACAGTGACATTATTTTGTTTTATTTTCATAACAATTGCAATTAAAAACAAATTACACTTGCATAAAAATGATCCCGATTGCGATTTAACTTTCTACTATTACAATAACTACTTTCCTGTTTATAGTAACAATTGTCCATTGTTTATTAATATAATTAAATAAAGCCGATTAAGTCGTTCGCACCCGTGCGAAAAAAATCATCTTGTTTGTTCATTTTTGTGTCAATAAAAAGATTAGTACAAAAATACCTACTCACCGGTCTAGTAGTAACAGGAGACACTGACATTTTTATTTGATAAAATTGATTAGATTATCTTTTAACAAATATAATCCACAGACGATTTATACTGCATCTACACACTTTCCCCTTTTAACGGCTAGCAGGACTAAATGCACTGTCTAGATTGGTGTTAAAAACCAACGAAGATCAATTCCTGCCGGTAGCAACCAAACAACATGTAAACTTGTTTATTGGCTTGGTTACAAACAAATGAGAAATCGCGCCAATTTCAAAATTTAAAATGCATGAAGGTCGATTAGAGGTGTATATTAATTATTGTATCTGATTTAGATGTTTATAAGTATGTAAAATGGCTAATTAAATGTTATTAAATGGGTCGTTTTCAAAAAACACCCGCCTTCCGCTGTCCGTAAGTTTGAATTCCAATAACTTTGTTAAAAATTATCGGATCTTATTGATTTAAAAACCAAGTGAAAGCCTAACAAGCCCTTATTAAACTCTTTCAGAAAATGTTTGTTTAGTTATTTCAGAATATTTTTTTTTTAATTTTGAAATTTGTGAAACACACATTTTCGCATGTCCTATTAGCGTTTTCTAAAACTTACATACATGATTTTTTTTAAATATTGAAAAACCAGAACTTTGTGTTGCTTAATAGCAATCCATAACATCCTTAGTTAATAAAGTAAACAATTTATATGTAAATTAATTAATTTAAATCTACTTTTTTTAAATTTAACTAATGTCAATTGTTTGTCCGCTAAGTTACTCAAAAAAATAATAAAAATAAGGTAAGAAAAAATACTATTTTTCATGTTTATGTTTATTTTAGGGCACTAAAGCTCATTGAGAGTAATTAATGACTGTAATGTTTTATAATTATTTTTTAAATATGGTTTCACAAAACTTTGTCCACTGCGTTACCGAGTCCATTACGTTACCTTATGGTAACGCAATGGAATTTAGGGTAACGCAATATAATTTTTCGACAACAAAGTGGATATTTACCGTCGCTTTTATTAAAAGTAGTTAATTTAAAATTATTTGTGATTACAACTCATGATATAGATTACATCCAAGGAAAAATTCCACGCAATATAAAAGTACTAAAAGGGACCTTCACCTGCTTATAGTCAAAGAAAAAGGGTGTCTACAATTTAGAAATCTAAGTTGTTATTCTGCAAGTGAGCACCACTACAAGGGATTTTGTTTATGCATGCATTACTCTAAAATCGTACCACCCTATATAGTTTCTTTTTTACGTTATCTGATTAAGTCCTTTGTGTACCCCAGTCCGTTGTGATACCAATGTCTATTTCGTTACTTTTTTTAGTTTTTGTTAAAAAAATCCTTAAAATGATTTTACTATCACTTGGTAATACCTGTTTATAAATTAGAGTTTAACTCACTAATACAGTGACTAAAAGAAAATATTAATGGTATTGTTTTTTTAACAAAGAATTGGAATGGTGTCTTTTAGAAAGTAACTTAACTAACATAAATATTTAAAAAAGGCATAGGTACAATTTTTAATAAAAAATAAAATTGGAGTCAAAAGTTTGTGAACTTAGTACATTTTATTTCAAATTATTTTTATAACAACTTTTTTTATTGAATTAAATTTTGTATTTCAAATTGGTAACACAGTGGAGACATATAAAGCTAGCTAAACACATTTTTCTGAAAAAAACGTAAAAAAAAATTAAATGTAAGTAAACAAAACTCTAGACATTTATAAAAATACAACCAAAAGTCAATTTAAGCAAAAAAAAAATTGATCTTCATTTTCCTGAAAGCGGGTGTTTCTTGAAAATGACCCAAATAATTTGTGTTCGAAAAATAAATTAACAAAATGTACTTACCAGGAGGACAATCCATTAATGCCTGTTTCACGAAATCTAGGTCTTATCTAGTGGGTACTTTAAAAGTGAGTGACCACTACAAAAAAGCCGCCTACAAACAATCTAATTTATGACACTTATCCCTTTCGGGGAAACCCATTTAACAAAGCGGCTTAAAATAGAAGAAAATATTTGGTAGATACGGTGCTTCCCAAAAGCAACGGCCCTACCTGAGTTTATGCAGTGTTTCCCATTGAGTTATGGTTTTTTGAACCGTACATATAAAACAATTTTTGTGACCAATACTTCCCCTACTTTGTTGGACCCACCGTGCTTACACAATTTCAAGAAGAATTGTATCGTTGACTACGGCGTGAAAGGAATTGTCGAGTAAAGTATATATAAATGCTTAAAAGCCTTCGCCCACCCTCAGTCTGATTCTAAAGTTTACTGCCCAGGTTCAAAAATTCCACCACATTCTACAATGGCTTGCAAGTGTTCAGTTGTTTTGTTGCTTTTAAGTTTTGTTCTTCAAGTTCTTGCGCAGGACCTTCAGGGAAATACGTACGTTGAAAAACAGTTACTTTGCGCCCTCGACAAGGCACCCTGTGATGTTTTGGGAAGACAGATTAAAGGTATGGGAAAATCCACTTTTAATAGCAAATATGTAATTTTTTAAACTTTAATTTTTAAATTAATATTTATATTACCTCATGTCATAGAACTACTACTTAAACGGTAACCTTCACATGCAGAAAATATAACCGTCAACTGGGAATTTATGCAAGTTTACAGTTTTAAAATACACTCACAGGCAAAATAATCGATCCACACAAATTTTCGATGAATTTCAATCGCAAATAACTTTTTTATTTGATTTCGGATTTAAACAAATATTAAAGAATATTGTAGATACATTAATGGAGAATTGCTCACATTTTAAAAATTACTAAAAATACACGTACGTTTATAATATACAGGTTTAAACAAAAATATGTTTTTTACCATAAGTTTAAGACACTCTGTAGAGTGGCTAAACCGTATATTGTTCTAAATTAAGTTTTAATTATCAAGTCACATCTATTTTTAACAGTTTTGTTTTTGGTTCACCTTGATATATTTATTTTTGTGGAAAATATGGATTTTTTTAAAAAAACATTGCAATTTCCAATATTTTCCTGTATGAAGAACTAAGGTTGCTATGGTCCATCCATAGCCTATGGAGGATGACAGTGACAGTTTTGTTTAATTTAGAACAATATACGGTTTTGCCACTCTACAGAGTGTCTTAAACTTATGGTAAAAAACATATTTTTGTTTAAACCTGTATATTATAATCGTAAGTCTATTTTTTAGTAATTTTTTAAAATGTAAGCGATTGTCCATTAATTTATTTACAATATTCTTTAATATTCGTTTAAATCCGACATCAAATAAAAAGTTATTTGCCATTGAAATTCATCGAAAATTTGTGTGGATCGATTATTTTGCCTATGAGTGTTTAACGTGGCTTAAAATCGTCAATAGATTTTAAACTTTAAAAATTAGATTATACAAATTCCTATCTAAAACTTTAATTTTTTGTACAAGCCTTTTTTCCAATTAAAATAATAAATTATAGAACTAATCTTTTCCTATAGAAGTAAAATACTACTACAATTTAAGTATACTTAAATTGTAGTAGTATTTTACTTACAATAGGGTCTTTCTAGGTATCTCAAATCGAACTGGCAAAAATCGTTATTTTCAACTATTTTTTTTTCACAGTTTCTCCACCGATATCGATGAGACCCGTATTTTTTCTTTTTGCTTAAATTTGTTTTGATCACCCGTAGAAAATTTTTGAAAAATGGACAGAAACATCGAATTTTCTAAGTGAGTGACATTTTTTATTGAAAATGCGATAACTTGGCCAAAAATGTTTAGATCGTTACAATTTTTTTTTTAAATGACGCGAATTAGACCAGAAGCCTTTAAAAATGGTAAAAAGAGAAAAAAAATAATAGTAGGATGAAACCCATTGGAAAAGGAGGGGAATATAATAAAAATTAAAGGAAAAATAAATTACGGGCGATCTGACTTCGGGAAGTGAGAGGGGGGGGGGTTTTAAGGGTAAAAAATGGTTTATCTCGATTTCCGGCAAAACTACAAGTCCTATGGAAAAAAGTTAAATGTCAAAGTTGTAGGTAATAAAAAGATCTACAACTTTTGTATTTACAATTTTTTCACATAACCTCAAAATTTATGTGAAAAATTCAAAAAACCAAGTTTTTGGTTTTTTATTTTTATCTTTTTCAAAAAAAAATTTTTTCCCACGAAATTTGGTGAAAACTTACCTTTTTATGTCCCAAATACACTGTAATTTATTTGATTTGAAGTATTTATTATTTCGCCTTATTTTGACTTAATATCAAAAAAGCACCCTAATTTTCAATCGAAAATTCTCGCGTCAAAATATCAGCTTTTTTCAAAAATTCGGTGTGCTTTTTGTTCGATGAACTCTCTACTTTCTGATGGTGTAAAAAAAATATATACATTTCTATGGTAAATGTTCTCAGAAAATACAAAAAATATTATAATGAATAACGTAATCAGAATGAAGTATCTAAATTCAATAGTATGATTTACATGTATTTTTATATTTTATGAGATTTTCTGATATAAATGTTATTAGAATTTAATAAATAAACTTTTTAACTAAAAAAAATTGCAACAATCACATTTTTTTGATGACATTGTACATAATGATTAAAATAAATTTTCGAATTCGAGTTTTTTTCGTTATTCATTATAATATTTTTTGCATTTTCTGAGAACATTTACCATAGTAATGTATATTTTTTTTACACCATCAGAAAGTAGAGAGTTCATCGAACAAAAAGCACACCGACTTTTTGAAAAAAGCTGATATTTTGACGCGAGAATTTTCGATTGAAAATTAGGGTGATTTTTTGATATTAAGTCAAAATAAGGCGAAATAATAAATATTTCAAATCAAATAAATTACAGTGTATTTGGGACATAAAAAGGTAAGTTTTCACCAAATTTCGTGGAAAAAATTTTTTTTTTGAAAAAGATAAAAATAAAAAACCAAAAACTTGGTTTTTTGAATTTTTCACATAAATTTTGAGGTTATGTAAAAAAATTGTAATTACAAAAGTTGTAGATCCTTTTATTACCTACAACTTTGCCATTTAACTTTTTTCCATAGGACTTGTAGTTTTGCCGGAAATCGAGATAAACCATTTTTTACCCTTAAACCCCCCCCCTCCCACTTCCCGAAGTCAGATCGCCCGTAATTTATTTTTCCTTTCATTTTTATTATATTCTTCTCCTTTTCCAATGGGTTTCATCCTACTGTTATTTTTTTTGGTTTCAAAAATTATCGACCCTGGTCTAAATTCACTTATAATTTTGTTTCGTAAAAATTACGTCCCTCATAATACTTTAACGTGTTGAAACTTAAGGGTTATTAAAATAGGTAAAAATAACATAAATAAAACTTATTAAATAACTTTAAAAAAAGTTTTACTTCAAAGTAAATTTTACTTAATATGCTGCTTTGGACTCTGGATATAGAAATAAAATTTAATCAAAAAATGATTTTATTTGTCAAAAATTGACATGTAGAATTTTATTTTGAATCGAAATATGTAAAAATCCATAAAACAAAAAGTTAAGACCATTTCCGGTGAAACCGGAAATTACAAAAATATGTTAAATATGTTATGTCTTTGTCTCATTTTTTTGCATTTTTTTTTAAGAAAAAACAATTTAAAAAAAATGAGTGAATTCACTTAATTTTTTGTATTTTTTTTGGATGTAATAAACATTTACCTACAATTTAAAAAAATTATGACGATCGAAAAGAAAAAATCGATTTTTCAAAAATTTACCACGGGTAGACAAACCAAATTTCAGCAAAAAGAAAATATGTAAAAAAATCGTTAAAAAATAACGACTTACCCCTTTTTACCTGGTCAAATTTACCCACACAAGGGGATTGTGGTAGATTTGATATGGAAAGGCAGAATATTATATGTTCTACCCTTAAGCTCAGTTGCCAACCAATTAAGATAACTTATTAGTTTACAACAAAATTTAATCAAACAATAAAACTACTTTTCATTATATACTATAAATAACTAATCATAATTATTCTTTAAAATTAAACACGAAAATTTCAAGATTATCATGTAGATAATATCATTGTTTTTAGAGGTCTAAAAACAATGATATACCTATCATCTTATTTATATCTGATTTATCAACGCCGAAACCAAAGTTGTGGAAACATAATAAAATTTAATAACAGTGAATTTGAATTGCAATTTTACTATGTACATTTAAAATAAACTTTTTTTAAAATATCTTAAATATCGTTTGCCCGATTTTTTTGAAATTTGCCAACGAAAAATAAATTTTAGTAGGTATTTTTATTTAATTGTTACAAATTATATAACAAAAATAATTAATTTGTTATAATTAAATAAGTTATACCCAGTTACCTACTAAAATTTACAAATTCCAACAAAAAAAAAAAAAATAAATAAAACAAAATTAATTATTTCCTATTTATTTCTATGATAAATTATAATAATTATTAGCAGTTACCGGTTTAAGTTTTTATAAACTTTCTTTTATTTCAGATGCGTTGCCTGAAATAATCGGAAAAAACTGCAAAACCTGCGACCAACGACAAGTAGCCAACGCCAGAAGAATTGCCAGGTTCGTCCAAACGAAGTACCCGCAAATGTGGAACGCACTCGTCGATAAATATGGCCCCAAAAGAGCTTAGAAATAATAAAACTTCATAAAAAAAATAAAAAAAGTTTGTGGCCCATGGGGGGATCGAACCCGCGACCTTCGCGTTATTAGCACGACGCTCTAACCAACTGAGCTAATGGGCCTGTGGTAAATTGTAGAAAGGTTATTGTACATTTAATAAATTTATTTATGTAACTTATTGATCTTTGTTGTTTTATTTTGGTCCAGTATAATAATGAGGGGCGTAGCTACCGCCGTATCCATGATATGCACGTATCATGCATGATATGTGGCTCGTGGCTAGAGGGGCCTGCATTAGACTACAAAAAAATCGACTATTTTTTGTTTGTAAAGTACCCACCTAGGTTGCATCGAAAATATTGTTTGGGGTGACAAAAAAATATATTGTCAAAGTTTGAGTCCATAATATTAAGAATCTGTCATCGCAATTTTAGATTTTTTTTCCTGAGCGAGATTTTGTCTAACAAGACTGACTTTGGAATATTTTTTGAATAAAATTGAATGTTCTACAAAAAAGGTTAAAGTGAAATTTCCCGTCAGATGAACCGTTTCCTTACAATCATGCCTTAAAAATTGGTATAGTTTTACAATTTGATCTTTTAACTTTGGAATTTTGTAATTCATGTAAAAATCAGTAGGTACCCGAAAAAAAAACTGATAGGTACCTATAGGTACCTATATATTTGATCTTTTAACTTTGGAATTTTGTAATTCATGTAAAAATCAGTAGGTACCCGAAAAAAAAACTGATAGGTACCTATACCTACCTATATTCTTATGGGAAATGAAATGCTCTACAAAAAAAGTCTCTTAACATTTTTGGCTAAATTCACTTCATCAAAAGTTATTCAAACGAAATTTTTGTGTTTTCCTGTGTAGATTTATTTTTTTATGTATGATAATTTGATTTTTTTTCTTTATAAATGTGTATTATATAACTAATTAACAATTTTCAATAAAAAAACATCATGATTGTTATTATTTAAACAATTAAATAACAGTGAAAATGATATTTTCCGTAATTTTATCAATAACATGAAGATTATCATTGATAATAGAGTTCAAGTTTTTAACTGACCCAAAAAAAAATCTACAGAGGAAAAAACAAGAATTTCGATTTGACTTCAACATTAACCTTGAAAACCTTTTGATTGAGTGAATTTAGCCAAAAATGTTAGGAGACTTTTTTTGTTTGATTTCCCATAAGAATAGGTATTTATCGGTTTTTTTCCGGGTACTGATTTTTACATGAATTAGAAAATTCTAAAGTTAAAAGATCAAATTGTAAAACTATACCAATTTTTAACGCATGATTTTAAGGAAACGGTTCATCTGACGGAAAATTTTATTTGACCTTTTTTGTAGAGCATTCAATTTCCTTAAAAAAATATATCTAAGTCAATTTTCTTAAAGTCCATGGTTTGGGAGTTCTGAGACAAAAACTCGCTCAGGAAAAGAAATGCGATAGACCTCTTAATATTAATATTATGGACTCAAACTTTCACCATATTTTTTTTTCACCCCAAAACAATGTTTTGGATATACTTTACAAAAAAATAGTCGATTTTTTTGGCCCAGTCATAAAAATCCTTTCAAGGCCAGATGTACCTATTTGAATCACAAAAAAATATTTCAAATCTCATCATTGATACAAAATTTTCGTGATAGATTGTTCTCAATAATTCATGGTTCATGTATTTATATTATATTTGTATTATATTTGTATGTTAATTTCATGATTTTCATCAATGTATATTTTAGGTGACCAACCGTCATGGTCTACCCAAGACAGGTTCTGGTTTTTGCTAATGTGTCCTGGTTTCAATAGTGTACTGGTTTTGTCCCAGTTTGGCAGATTTGGTCCTGGTTTAAACTAATTTTTTTTAGTATTGACTTTATTGGCATTTAAAATAATAGACATAAAATAAATTTTGTCTATTTATTGGAAAGGCTAGGAGGGGCATGTTGTGTTTTTCATTCAAGTTGGCCACTTTATGTATATACCTAAAAAAGAAATTTGCATAGCCTGTGAAGCTCCTACTTACCAGCAAAGAGAGTGTGTTCGAAAATATCGGGAATTTTCGTTTTTTGAAACAAATATTTATTTATTCGTCTACATTAATGTTGTCGCCTTCAAAATAGTCCCCATTGGATATTATGCACATGTGCCAGCTCTTCTTCCAATACTCGAAACACTTCTAAAACTCGATCTTTGAGATAGCCTTTAGTTCTTTCAGCGATGCGCTTTTAATGTCATCTATGCTTGCAAAACGACGGCCTTTTCAGGTTCTCTTTATTTTTGGGAATAGGAAAAAGTCAGACAGAGGCATGTATGGCGAATATAGAGGCTGGGGCATTATTACAGTATTGTTTTTGGCCAAAAATTTTGTTCAAAATTTAACAATTTTAGAACAAATTTTGCTGCCACGAGTTTTATACCAAAACATTTGAAAAAATTTCATGGGTTGAGCCAATCGATATAACAACATCATCAGCGACTTCTCTGATGGTTTATATCCATTTCTTTCACTTTTTCCATGTTTTTATCGGTTGTTAATGTGGATGGGCGTTCGGGGCGTTCGTCATCTTTAACGTCTTCACGGCCATCTTGGAAACTCTTATACCACTTGTAAACTCTTGTTTTACTTATAGCAGACTCACTATAGGCCTTTGTTAACATTTCACAGAATTTATTTCATTTTTTAAGCAAAATTGGATACAAATTCTTTGATCCATTTCTTTTAACGAACGAAAATCGCCGAGCTCATAAAACACGTTTAACCTTAGCGGCTGCCACAGACAAAGTAAACAATGAAAACAACTAAAGTTTTTATCATACTTCGGGGGCATGTATACCAACATAATAAATAAAATGACAACCGGACCCTCCGAACCAGCGAAATTTAACAATTCCCGTTATTTTCTGAACACACCTCGTATTTACCTATTAATATATCAACATAACTGAAGATGTGGTGGATGGCAGTTTGTGTAGAACGGGAGTTTGTTAGTAAAATTTATTATTTTATTATTGTGGTGCACGGGAGTACATACACAGCTGAGTACAGGTAGAATTAGCAGTTTTTATTAAGCAACAAGTCGTATTGAGTTTCAATTAAGGTTAGGTTTTCAATATTCCGGTATGTTTTCGTTAGTTAAATATTTTTTTTTATTGAATCCTGTTCATGACATTCTCTTAATAACACCAGTTTACAAAATCGAAAAAAAATTCTGCCCACTATATCCCATTATAATTTTTCCATGTATTTTGACCTACTAAACATGAAAATCACAAAAAAAAATTATGGAAGCGTTTTTGAAATATGAATTTTTAATTGTTTTTTGTTTAATTTTCGGAGGTGTGTTGACGTTTTTGAAAAAAATCGTTTTTATGGCAAAAATTGAGATCGAAAATTTACATATCGTCCTGGGAAAGGTTTAAATCAAACAGATAACTCCACTTTGGATTTTTTTTTCGTGAAGCTGACATTTTTACAAAAAACAAGCTAATGTTAATAAAAATACATGAAAAAATGTCGAAGTTATGAATTGTTTAGTGGAAGACCAAAATTTAGCTTTTTGACGATTTTTATTTTATTTTTTTTCTTTTATTTCGTAATAGGTATGTTTATTTTTAATGAAAACCTAATTAAAGTGCATGATTGAAATTTTTTAAGTTTTTTGATATTTTAACAGAGTATTTTTATCATGGTTTTATTTAGTTAATAAAAAGTATAAAATAGGTAAAAGAGTAAAGAGCTTCTAGGATGCAGCCATGATGGGTTTACATGGGATTACATTTGGTCCCTTATACGAGAAACGGGATACGAAAGCAATAAAAAACAAAAAAGGAGACAGATTTTTTTTTAAACCTATGCTTATTAAAACAAAATAAAACTTTCAATGTCAATATTTATTGTTCAATATTCAATATATAATTTAATTTCAATATTTAATGTTTAAAATAAAAATCAATGTTCAATTTAAACTTTATATAACTCAATAAAATGAAAAAAACGTAAAAATTTTCGAAAAAACTGAATTTTGGTCTTTTCCTGAAAAAATCATAACTTTGCCATTTATCCATGGATTTTTATCAACAGCAGCTTATTTTTTTCCTTTAAGTATAATCTATACGTAAAATAAATCAAACTGGACTTATCTTGTCGATTTCTATCTTTCCCAGAAAGATATGTAAAATTTTGACCTCGATTTTTGTGAAAAAAAGGACTTTTTCAACTTCATAAAATCGCCAGTATAGAACTACTGAGCCGATACCAAAACTATACAAGAGAAAGTTGGAGATGGCTCAATTGGGCAAAATGGCTATAAACTAGTGTAATTAAAACGCCTTTTTTAACAAAAAAAAAACTGAAAAAATACAGATATTGGGCAGTTGTCCAACGCCAAAAATTTCATCAATAAGAGGCAATATTCACAAACTTTTCAAATAATTTGTTACGAAACCTACATATAATTATAAGTAGCTATGCGGAAATATTTATAAACAAAGCTTATTCTGTTGGCATCGTATTTTATTAGGCCGCGTAAAAAACAATTGGAGTTCAGGGGGGTATTCCGATTGCTCTGATATTTTATTGGTTTTGTACATATATTTTTAAATTAAAAAAACGAATTTATGTCGCAATTTGGGTTAAGATTGGGTTAATTTTTTTTATTTTTTTATTTATAATGGTTTATATTGGCCCTTTTAAAAAAGGTCAACGCGTAGCAGTTTTGTTTTTTCCATTTGATAATATTTTTTCCTTGTTACTAATAGGTTGTCATAGTCTTTTTGAATGTTATTGTAAATTGTTTTATATTGTTTGTTTACTAATGAAATAACTTGAATTATATTTAGTTTATCTTTCAATTTTTTTATTTGAGCAGTTTTGAATATTTTTGTTTTACTGGCATTTACTGGATTTAATTTAATTTATGTTAAAGGAAAATGTTTATCAAAAGATTTTTTAAATATTTTCATAAAATTTTCCCAGTATTTATTTGCATGTATGGATTTGATAAATTTGTAACCGTTTTTGTTTAGCAGGTTCAAGGTTAAAATTTATAACACTATTGTTTGTAAAAAATCGTTTGTGCATTAATATTTGTTGTTCAAGTCTATTCAAAGTGTTTGACGGGTGTGATCTGAAATATTGGTGTTTATTATAATAATTTTATACCTAGTTATCAAAGTTTATGATAATATTGCCAATGCAACTTTGGCAATATTTTGTTATCCTTGTGGGTTGTTTAAGGGCACATTTTAAAGAAAAGAAATCTAGAAGTCAAGTAAGCTGTTTAGTTTCATTATTTGTTTTAATTATGTCAATATTATAATCCTGCACAAACGATATTTTTATTTTTAATGCTTAACATATCAATTAGGCAAATTATATCACATTCAACTTCGTTGTCCACAATTTGTTGGAGTTGATTATGTGCATTTCCGATAGACTGGATATTTTGATGTTGAATTGTAATTTTGTTCTTGAATGTTGATTGATTATTCATAAAAAATAACCTTCTTATTTCTCCGACACTGTTGAAATTAAAAATTCCTATTCCTGCACTGGCCAGAAATTAAGTTTGATTTATCAAACTGTGCTTTAGCACATCCTTTTTCTCCCATGGTGCTTTAAATGTTTTTGGCTTCTTACTATCTTCAGTTACATATATTATAGTATTTTATTATTTCAATCCATGTAGTAGTTTTTCTCTTAGGTATTTTGTAATCATCAGTTTTAGTTAGGTTAATAACACTGTAGGTAAATTTCAAACTTTTAAAAAGACACATAAAAACGCCGGGACACGTAAACCTAATTTTTGGGTGTGGAATTCAGTGGTGTAATCAGTTTTTTAAAGTTAGCTCGTTTTCTCAAGATATTAATTATTTAAGTTTTTTGTTTCACCATTTTGCTATATTTTTAAAGAAAAATATAGCATAACCCGTTATAAAATGTCTGTATTTATTTTTAATTCATAGATACATTTTTGTCTCTTAAATTAATAACATTCGTGTTTAGGCCGATACTATTCATATTTTTTTAATTTTATTAGATTTTTCGCATATTTCTTTTTTTGTAATTAAATTTGTTTTAGTAAATATTATTGTCTGGTATTAGTGGGAAATATTCGAATTTAATAAAATTTGAGAATTTCATTTACTAGTAAATAGACTAGACTAGAAAGTACAGCCTGTATAAATGTTGTTTTTAGTTTTTACAATAATTGAAATAATTCTTTGCTATAGTTACATAGTTTTGTGGTTATAACCAAATTTATTTATATTTAAAAAGATAAAAAAACTACTTAAATAACAAGTTGTAAAGAATGTAAAAAATGTTTAATTTTATGCCTCTTTGAAGATTGACCAACAAAAATCAGCAAGCATCGAGTCGAATTTTTTGCCAAAAAATCGATCTTCAAATTTGCATGCTCATTTTGATTTTTATGAAAAACAACTTTCAACCGAAGCTGGTGAACGATTTCATCAAGCCATTATGACATTTGATGATCTATTTTTTGGCAAAAAATTCGACTCGATGCTTGCTGATTTTTGTTGGTCAATCTTCAAAGAGGCATAAAATTAAACATTTTTTACATTCTTTACAACTTGTTATTTAAGTAGTTTTTTATATTTTTAAATATAAATAAATTTTAATATTTTATACTACTAACTGACAAAAAAAGTTTAATATTGATAAATAATATTTTTTTAGAAATAAATAAATTTTAATATTGGAATTGGCCAAAAATGTTAATTATAAATAAATAAAATAAATAAAGATATTTTAAGAGGGATTATTAACAAATAAAAAAATATTTAAACACAAAATTTCAAATATCTCGAGAAAACTACTTAATTTTAAAAAACGGATTACACCACTGAATTCTACACCCAAAAATTAGGTTTACATGTCCCGGCGTTTTTTTGTGTCTTTTTGGTATTTCTCAAAATGTACACAAATAATAAACCAAAAAGTTACAAAAACTTAAATATTAAATATCTTAAGAAAACGAGCTAACTTTAAAAAATTGATTACACCACTGGATTCTACTCCCAATAATTAAGTTTACGTGTATCGGAGATTTTTGGTGTCTTTTTGATGTTACTACTGTGTAATCAGCAATGTAGGCAACAATGAACAATGAACTTCTTTAAATTGAGGGGGGCCATCTGATGAATTTGCCACGGGCCCCAGTGGTAATAGTTACGCCACTGTGTTGTTTATTTGTATTTGCAGATGATTCTAGTAAATGCCTTATAATAGGTACTTTATTCAGTAATTCTACTTTCCAGTTGCGATAGCATTTTTTTTTTCAGTAAATGATTGGCTTTATCTGGATTTTGTTTGTACTGACCTTTAGGTAAAAAATGTAAACCAGAGATAATAAAACTAACCATTTAGCTTTTCTAATGTTGTCTCAGACATGTTTGTAATCTTCAGAATTAAATTAAACGTGAGATTTAAATAATTTTGACTGTTTTTTGGGGCTACCCAAATTGTGTATTTGTAAGCTAAAGTTAGCATTTATCAGTGGTATTTTTAGTTAAATATTTCTGTTTTTTTAATGAATCCTTTTCATGACATTATTTTGCATTTTATTAGGCCTCGTAAAAAACAATTGGAGTTCAGGGGGTGGGTATTCCGATTGCTCTGATATTTTATTTGTTGCTAACCAATATTCAATTTTTACAAATTTTACATTGTAGGGAGGTTTATCACAGCTAAACGCTCGGACACGTAAACTTAATTTTTGGTCGAAGATTACAAATCCGTGCTTGGTTTAGCTGTTAAATAAAATAAATAATAAAAATTTAAAAGCGTATAAAATCTGTAATATTTCGATTTTTTAAATAAAATTTTAAATTTGTCGATAAATTATAGTAGATTATAAATTGCACCACTTTAATTTGAATTATCTCAGGAGGCGGGTTAGGGGACACGAAAAACTAACTTTTTTTAAACTAATTTAAATTCTGTTTGCGCCGAACTTGTCTGTTAAATTTCATTATAAACTATTGTAAATTTGGTGTGGGTCCCATGTCTAAAAACTGAGATATTGGTATACCCAAAATCCACCAGCCGCCACTGGCCTGATGTGGGGTAACCTGATTCACAAACGTATTTGTAATTTTTTAAAAATTATATTACTTTTCTTTGGATTTGCAAAGTCATCATTATTTATAATAAATTTTTTAAGCACCTGTGTTAAATTGTTTGTTAATTAACTTATCTTCAATTTAATCTAATAATTCTATATATCCTATATTATCTTTATTTATTGCATAACATTGTCGGCAAATTAGGTACATTCTACAATCACTATAAAAATGGCGTGTAACAAACTTGATTTTCGTAGTTCGTGATTCGAAGTGGTCTATAGATACCTACAGTGAGCAATAAAAATGACAGTTCGAATGTGTGGAACAAAATTCATCTACCTTCTAGTCCCAATAGGTAAAAAACTTTCATTTACTTTGTAACAAATTTTAATAACTTACGGCACAGTGCAATTGTAGAGCAAACATGCAAAAACCGATAAATTCATTTTTACATTTTAAGATTAGTACCGATTCTTAACTTTGGTAAATTCTTTTGATTTAGCATTTTAAGAAAGAAACGAAACAGGCCAATACCTCAGAATAAGTTAAAATGGATTTATCGGATTTTGCATGTTTGCTCCATAATTGTTGCTTTTTGATGTGATGATAAATAAAGCTATAGGGTACCTACCTACTTCAATGTAACTTATTATCCTTATAGTTTAACAATAGAAAATAATGTTTTGTACTGCATCACAAAAAGTCTTCATAACGACTGTTTAATATTATAAAATTAAACATAATAAGACATAAGTGGTGGGGCCATTTGTATCATACCGAGCGTTTCCAGCGCTGGCCTTGTACAGACTGTCACCCAACAATTGAAACAATAATAATTTGAAGTTTATATAAACTCATCAGGTTGTTACAGTTATTGACACGGATTTTCAAACATTATAATTGGGTCGATCTTGTGTGATTATGTAAATAGTAAAGATACAATAATGACCATTTTTGCGTTCGTAGTCAAAATGACAAGAATAGTGATAACCGGAAGTAAGGTTATGTGTTCACAATTTATGAATTTTGCAAAAACAAAAATACATGAATTGGATTATTTTTAGAAATTAACTTGACACTGACAAAAAATAAACCTTAATTATTTTTATCAATGGCACTTTGATGTGTGGAGCATACGTAGATAATAACAACTAAAAATAATAATAATAATAATTATAAGTCCGACCACACAGGAAAGGACGGCTGTTCAATACCCGCGTGAAAAGAACAAGGATAGAACGCCAAATAGAATTTGATTGGCCAGCCGGCAGGCTACGACAACGCATACCCATCGCGCACCTCGCAGCGTGCTTGACACGAGGATATTAGAACGAGAACTGCAGTGGTGCCAGCAAGAGCCTCTTGCCAAGAGGTAGTAATTTTAGTGAAAAAGATTATTTAATTAAAAAATGTAGGTACACGTTGGAACAAAAAGTTCAGATTTTAATCTGGCATTTTGCTGGTAATTCTGAACGAGAAATTCAAAGATTATTTGCGGGAATGTTCGAGGCCAGACCAAACAGAGAAACAATTCGACGAATCGTTAATAATTGCTTGTTCGAACATTTAATTTAATTTTTCAGTTTATTTATTTTTAGAGTTTTATTAGACCAGGGTCGATAATTTTTGAAACCAAAAAAAATAAAAGTAGGATGAAACCCATTGGAAAAGGAAAAGAATATAATAAAAATAAAAGGAAAAATAAATTACGGGCGATCTGACTTTGGGAAGTGGGAGGGGGGGTTTTAAGGGTAAAAAATGGTTTATCTCGATTTCCGGTAAAACTACAAGTCCTATGGAAAAAAGTTAAATGGCAAAGTTGTAGGTAATAAAAGGATCTACAACTTTTGTAATTACAATTTTTTTACATAACCTCCAAATTTATGGGAAAAATTCAAAAAACCAAGTTTTTGGTTTTTTATTTTTATCTTTTTCAAAAAAAAAAATTTTTTCCACGAAATTTGGTGAAAACTTACCTTTTTATGTCCCAAATACACTGTAATTTATTTGATTTGAAATATTTATTATTTCGCCTTATTTTGACTTAATATCAAAAAAGCACCCTAATTTTCAATCGAAAATTCTCGCGTCAAAATATCAGCTTTTTTCAAAAAGTCGGTGTGCTTTTTGTTTGTTGAAATCTCTACTTTCTGATGGTGTAAAAAAATATACATTACTATGGTAAATGTTCTCAGAAAATGCAAAAAATATTATAATGAATAACGAAAAAAACTCGAATTCGAAAATTTATTTTAATCATTATGTACAATTTCATCAAAAAAATGTGATTGTTGCAATTTTTTTTAGTTAAAAAGTTTATTTATTAAATTCTAATAACATTTATGTCAGAAAATCTCATAAAATATAAAAATACATGTAAATTATACTATTGAATTTAGATACTTCATTCTGATTACGTTATTCATTATAATATTTTTTGTATTTTCTGAGAACATTTACCATAGTAATGTATATTTTTTTACACCATCAGAAAGTAGAGAGTTCATCGAACAAAAAGCACAACGACTTTTTGAAAAAAGCTGATATTTTCACGCGAGAATTTTCGATTGAAAATTAGGGTGCTTTTTTGATATTAAGTCAAAATAAGGCGAAATAATAAATATTTCAAATCAAATAAATTACAGTGTATTTGGGACATAAAAAGGTAAGTTTTCACCAAATTTCATGGAAAAAATTTTTTTTTTGAAAAAGATAAAAATAAAAAACCAAAAACTTGGTTTTTTGATTTTTTCACATAAATTTTGAGGTTATGTGAAAAAATTGTAAATACAGAAGTTGTAGATCTTTTTATTACCTACAACTTTGACATTTAACTTTTTTCCATAGGACTTGTAGTTTTGCCGGAAATCGAGATAAACCATTTTTTACCCTTAAAACCCCCCCCCTCTCACTTCCCGAACTCAGATCGCCCGTAATTTATTTTTCCTTTAATTTTTATTATATTCCCCTCCTTTTCCAATGGGTTTCATCCTACTGTTATTTTTTTTCTCTTTTTACCATTTTTAAAGGCTTCTGCACTGGTCTATATTTTTATTTAGAGTTTTATTTTTATTTTTAGTTATTTTTATTTGAGAAATCTTTTTTATTAAGAATACTATTTTTGTTGTTGCCCTAGTTCTCAAGGAAAAAAATCAAAACATTTTATTTTTAGGATTCGGGTATAAAATATTTAAAAAGAAAATTAAAATGTGCATCTCCACTCCAACGCAGTTTGCTTAACACTAAATCATTTAGTCTAAAATTTAGACTCTAAATGCAGCCAGAGACTCTGGCCCAGAGTTGACCTCGCTTACAATTCGCACGCATCCGGGGCTCTGGCCAATCAAATTCTATTTGGCGTTCTATCCTTGTTCTTTTCACGCGGGTATTGAACAGCCGTCCTTTCCAGTGCGGTCGGACTTGCATTTGCAAGCACTGTATACACTCACATATACATTTCAAAATGGCGAAGTTTGATTTGACATCACTCTTCCACTTAAATAAATACAAAAGTTGTATACCCTTCAAAAATCCCTTATTCAAACGAAAAGGATATCGTTTTTTAACTGGTACCGCCAAATAATTTTAATTTTCTTAATATTCGTCATTGCTCTCTTTAACCATTCCAGTATCCCTTCATAATATTTATTTCTATTAAATAGGTAATATTTTTCCTAAATTTTTATCCTTTTACAAAAATTTTACTTTTAACTCTGACATTTAAATTAATTAAATAAATGCAATGTCTGGAAAATTGGTCTGTTTGGAGAGTATCTGGACATCTGCAGATTTAAAAGTTAAAAATACGAATTTATTAATTATTTTATTTAGTTTCGCAATTTGGGTTAAGATTTCTTTGATATTTTCTTTGTTTTGCTTTATAAACTATAATAATAATAAACTATAGTTTATTTTTTTCATGGAGTAAGGGTAATACAAAAAAATACAAGTCTTAAAAAAAATTAAAATAATTGAATATTCTTAACTAATTAAAATAGTAGGGATAATTATTATAATCATAATATAGGGATACAAGTGACTTATACCCCTTGGCTTCTAGGGTTCATTAATTATTATATTATATTATTATATTATGATTATAATATAATTTAATTATTCCTACTATTTTAATTAGTTAAGAATATTCAAGCGGGCCGCAAAAAACACCTTTGGTGTTGTATTAACATAATTATCGTTTTATTTGACACATACCTACATAGTTTTACCAAATTAAAATTTTGTATTTTAAATTTAATAATCATTCAATATTTTGTAAATAAATATTTTCAATAGACTCCCTTTTGCAAAAAGGTCCCAACTGACAGTATTTTTTCGTTTATTTTCTTTAATCAATGAAATTCAATTCATTGTTCAGTTTTATTTTTTTTTACCCATTTTAATATATAACATTAATTACATAAAACCTGGCATAATCAACGTTTAAAAAACATATTTTTTTACTTAAAAAAATGGTAGTTCTGTTATTAATGATAACTTATCATATATAAATATATATTATATTTCTTTAATATTAACATAAAGTTATTATTGACTTAATGTTGCCTTATGAGCTTAAATTATTCGATTGCCCAATAAAACTTTATTATGTGTACCCATGTGCATGCAGAAAACAATTGCATATCTCAATTTTCACTTTATATTTGCCCTATTTGGCCATCTTATTGCAATAAATGATTTTTCTTTAATCAAAAAACCTCCTAAATAATTTAGACCAATCGGGTAAAAACTCGTTTGAACCAATAAAATAATTCGACTATTGTAAGATCTACATACGAGGTGTGTTCAGAAAATAACGGGAATTGTTAAATTTCACCGGTTCGGAGGGTCCGGTTGTCATAAAATTTTCTTTATTATGTTGGTATACATGCCCCCGAAGTATGATAAAAACTTTAGCTGTTTTCATTGTTTACTTTGTCTGTGGCAGCCGCTAAGGTTAGACGTGTTTTATGAGCTCGGCGATTTTTCGTTCGTTAAAAGATATGGATCAAAGTATTTGTATACAATTTTGCTTAAAAAATTAAATAAATTCTGTGAAATGTTAACAAAGGCCTATAGTGAGTCTGCCCCAAACGCACAAGCGCATTAACAACCGATAAAAACATGGAAAAAGTGGAAGAAATGGTTATAAACCATCAGAGAAGTCGCTGATGATGTTGGTATATCGATTGAAGTTAATAAATGCAATGTCTGGAAAATTGGTCTGTTTGGAGAGTATCTGGACATCTGCAGATTTAAAAGTTAAAAATACGAATTTATTTATTATTTTATTTAGTTTCGCAATTTGGGTTAAGATTGCTTTGATATTTTCTTTGTTTTGCTTTATAAACTATAATA